TTTTCTGTGGTCTCTTTAAAGGACAGAGTAGGAGCAATAAGCAGGCCTTGAACCAGCACATGGTCTGGAAATGTCTGAAATGAGCCTCACAAAGTTAGAAGATTCATTTAAATTGCAATCCCGTGCTTGGTTTCGGCATAGTTACTTACTGTTTCATACAACAGGCTTCTCAAACTCCCTGGAGATCAGGTGCTGGAAAGTGTGTCCATGGTTTGCTCTGGTCATTTTCTAGATGGGGTCTTTTATGGGCTGATATATCCTATTTCTAATGATGGTGAAATTATTAGCAGAAGAGGGTTTTTTCAGTACTTCCTTTCCTGCTGGGAATGTAGAAACACACAGGCAGATTGCACAAATATGGAAACACTAGTTTTTGTCAGTCTGAACCTGCTGGTTCAGTTGTTTTAATGTTTTCTAGGCTAGAGGATAAGAAGGATGAGGTGAAATAGGTTTTCATCTCTGCTTTGGCATTAGCTTTTTGTTGCACAATTTCCCCTCTCTCTGCTGCCTTTAACTGTCAGGTGAAATGGGGGGAAGGTAAACCATGACATGACAGTGGAATATTTTTTAAATCTTCTGTGCAGCCTCTGTAGGAGATGTCCTGGCAGGTCTGTTCCCTTCTTCTCAGATCTCCTAACCAAAATGCAAGTTGTGGGTGGATAGCATGGGGTGGGAAACGGCAGACAGAAATAACTCTCAGTGTTAGTAAGTGCACAGGCATCGTGGTAGGCAGTAAGGGGAGTCAGAAGGGTGCCCTCAGAACAGGTCAGGTATTGCTGCAGGAAGGACCTTAGATGTGACTAGAGAGTGGATGGTCTCACTGGGGTGTGCAGCAGTGGTAGTGCTGATGACAGAGCATGCTATATACAGTTTTATTATGCTGCCCACATCAAATGCCCAGCTAAAATTCGTATTCTGAATTACACTGACAACCGCTTGCAGTGTAGTAATTTCAGATGTTTTCAATTTGTTGATTCCTAAAAATCTGCTAGTGGAACAGTATAGCTTGGGGCTTCCAGGTTTATGGCACATCTTCTAAGCTTCTGTTTCCCCAAGGTGATGAGAAACTTAGCCTAGCGCACATGCCACAGAGCAGAGATGATAACTCAAGGGAGCTGCTAAAAGACTGTGACTTATTAAGGACTTAATGGCAGGTACCTCATACCGCTTTCTCCTGAAACAATTCCCTGTCACTGCTTTCCTATTTGTTACCCCCCTACCTTTCGCCTCACCTTCTCCTGTACTGGCTTGCCATAAAATTTGAATTAGCATCTTCTGTAGCAAACCCCAATAATTTGGGTTAAGTAATCAATTAATTTTCAATTTAAAATATAAGGTTTAGCTTTCCAAAATCCATGCAGTGCATTGTTCCACAGGGATGACAGAAGAAAATATTTGTATTTGCTGAATTAACATGCCTTACTTGTCATGTCATGTACCAATATTTGGCAAAATAGCATCACTGATGCATTAATATTTGTATACAGGTACCCAGTCCTCCTCCCTTTTCTTCCTCCCATGTGGGGTCTTGAGCAATCTGTTAAAATAGGTGATCAGCCGATGAAAACCTCCAGTGTAAAGCAAAGCACAAATGATAGTCAGAAGGCATGTAAAAAAAACAATCAAGGAATATCCCAGCTCATCACTGGGGGTTAGGTATTGAATGTTGTAGTAATAGTTTCCAGGAAAGGTGATTGTCATTGTAAACCCTTAACTTTCTAGTTCCTTAATTATAAATAAGCAATGAAAAGAACACAGCTGCAGCTACGTAAAGTCATTGCCCAGGAAGTATACTTTTTTTACGCAAAAAGCCAGCATGCCCACAGGGGTGGGTAGTTGTCCTGTCTGCCTCTGCTGAAGTTAGTGAAGCTGGGAATGCTTACACAGGTTGAGGGTTTGTCCACTGTGCTCTCTGCTGTCTTTCCCCTGTGCTAAAGATCTGAACACAGGGCATCTCTTCAGTCCCTTTGGAAACTGTGTGAGTGGTGTGCGACAGAAGAGGACTGGTTGACTTGTTTCAAATATTGCTGCTCCCTGGTCTGCTGTGTGTATTTGGAGGGTCCTTTCTAGCAAAGTGGCACACAGCTCTTACAAAAGGAGTTAAAGGAAATCAATGTTCATATTACAGGCTGCAATCTAGCAGAGGATGACAGGAAGGGAAGCAGTCACTGTGAGCCCCCTGCTCCCTACCTCACTTGGAGAAGAAATGGTGGGCAGCCCGGTGCAGGGAGGACATCAGTGCAACCACAGCCCCAGATCTTCAAACATACCTGGGAGCCTAACTTCCTGTTTTTCGAAGTGAGATGTTTCCTAAGGATGTTGGAGAGACCGAGACTATGGTTCTTACTTGCCTCCAACACAACAGCAGCACTCTAGTTCTTCATTTTGCACTTTCCTTTTGTGTGTGTGTGTGTGTGTGTGTGTGTGTGCGTGTGAAAAGGAGGTTTAATCATATTTTCCATTCCTTCTAAAGCATTTTGAGAGCCTCAGGGAAAAGTGCTAGGCAGGAGCAGTGCCATTACAGATAAGCTTCCAGATTATACGCAGCTAGAGATGACAAAAATAGCACACAACTGGGACCACAGCAAGGACAGGGGTAACGAATGGTCAGGGAAAGACAGGGAAGTCCCTATGGGGTTTAATCACTCATAGTAATTAACTCCCAAGAAGTGCACAAGGATCACTACAGACCTTGCAAGGTATAATAAACAAGATGTAATTATTAAGTAGGATGATTCACTCTTAAAAATGATTATTAATCATGCTATGAACTGTGATGAGGATGAGCAGATATAAAGTATTAATTGCTATGTGATGGTTAATTAATATATCCTCAGGTTGTGATAGTCCTAATTAAAAAAAATTATATTCACTTCAGCAAGATTAATTCCAGGATAAGATACTACTGAGTAAGAGCAAAGGTGTTAAAATTCTGCCTGCCAAAAGCATGTTAGTTAGTTCTGGCCCTGGATGAATTTGATCAGTGGAAGCTGATGGTATTCATCTGAGAGAGCTTACCATAAAAATGGTTTTATAGGTGACCTGGGTTTGTAGCCTGCTGATAGTCTGACGATGCTGAAGGGAACAGAAGTGTTTCTGTTGTCTGTAATATGAGGGACTGAGGCCTTGAGATCGGCCATTCAAAATGAATGAACACCCGTTTATATATTGCTGTACTCCAGAAACATCTTCTCTCAACATTTCTTTCTAGCTGTAAAGCTCTTCTTACAAAGTTTGTAGCAACAACTATTTTTTTCTAGTGTAGTTGATATCAAGAACTTCAGTAAGGAAGCATCACTCCACATAACAGAGGCTCAGTAGCCTGCCTTGGCTCTGTTCTGTAGTGTGACACATACAGTCATCCTTCTCTTCCCTGCCTGAGCAGTAGCACTGCTTGAAAACTTGTCCTGGATAGTGAATACTAAATGCATTTCCCTACACAGGACTGTGAGCTATGACAAAATGTGAGCCACGGGAGACGAATTCTGTCTGCAGACTTGACCAGAGCAGGGAACTGTAAAGACTGGCTTTTAAAGTCATGTGATCTTATTTCTATAGTGTAGTTTGGAAGAGCTGTAGTTTCATGTATATCACTAAGAGGTTATTTGTGATGAAAAGCCCATAGTTTAGCAGCAGTGCAGGCTGCATACCTGCGGTAGTATGAGAGGAAGTTTATTCCTGGAGCCCCTCTGCCTATACCTCTCCTCCACCCCTCAAGCTCCTCAAACGCCAGTTTTTTCTCTCTCTGCCCAGAGCTCTTCCATGTCTGCTTCTGATAATGTGGGGATCATCCTAGCGTTGTATGAAGTCTGACTTTTAAGTACCCGAACTTTTGAAGAGGTATTGTCTGAAATATGGGCTTTACAGCTGAAATAGTAGAAAACAGTAGAACAGAGAACAGTAGAAAGCTCAGAATCAGATTGCTTTCGAACAATCTGAGTCATGAGTTGGCAGTAGTGTCAGCTCTAGCTGGCTTGCCCAAAAGTTCTCAGATTTGTGCTGTCATCTTGGTACCCGTTTCAACAGTCTCCATCTGCATTACATACAAGCAGACAAACGTACCATTTGATTCCAGGTTTATAGTAACTTTATTAAAATTCAAAACCTTCTGTTAGTAGAATTTATAAATTTAAGAAAGATAAGACATTTACATATACATAGTTCTCTAAAGCAGGGAGTTCCTATGAGTTTGTGAAATACAGATTCCAGACATGGTTTGTTCTTGCTTATTCAGAGAAAAGCAAAGGAAAAAGTAAAACAATTGTTTCAGGTTTGTCTCACATGAGGGTGAAACTGAAGTAATTTCACTGAAGTCAGTAGGTAGGATAAGTCTTCCCCAGTACAAGGCTGAATAGGGTTACATTCATGGAGTTACACTGAATTACTCCAGGTCATCCCTTGGTGAGAGTATCCATACATCATCGTGGACCGAGCTAATAGTGCAATACTGTGTATAAAAACAGAAGGCCCAAGGATCTTCTTCTGAATATTGCACTGATCAGGTCATAGCCTGAAGCATGAGATTAGTTTACTTATAGATTACATAGGTATGAGTAACCATTAAATTATATAGCACCTTCTCAAACCCAGCACTCAACACAGAACATTCTGACCTCCATCAGGATGGAGGTCTACACTCATCCAGCTCTGTGGGAGGTCATCTTCTTCCCTACAGTATGTGAAACTATCTGCCATTCACCCTTAAATGCCATACTGGTCAGGACAGCAAGGATGAGAAGATATCTACATTCAATTGTAAATAAATATTAGCAAGCATTTCAGAAAATAAACAGTGTAACAGAGTCCAGCTATAAAACAAAGAAGTCAGCAGACATTTAACCAGTGATGAACAGATTCTGGTGAGTTCATGTTTGTTCAGAGATTTTATTGCCAATTAATAAATAGGAATTAAAAGCAGATACTAAGGCTTTCTTCCCTGTTATGTGCAGCACTGATGATGATTCCACTTAGTTGGCCTTAGATGCTTGCCTAGGACAGGATTATTTGCCTTTGGTGGTACGTTTTTGGTCTATTTTCTTCATAGCAGACTGCACCCATTTCTGATCAGGGCTTACGCAGATCTTGATGCCTTTTGTGGTGATAAACCTGCAGGAAGAAAGAAAGCAAACCAGGCAGCCATTAAATTCCAGTCTCCAAATCCAGGTTTACTGTTCTTGGTTTTTATGCAGAACATGAGGGACAATGTGGTAAAACCATATCACATGCTGGAGTTTGTAGTTGTTAGTTGGAATAACAGCAGTTAGCAACATTAGTTCGCTATTTATGGCATAGGTATGTATGTAACATACATGGTCACGTGCATATATACTGACATTTAAAAAAAGGAGCACACCTGTTATTCTGAGATTTCATATGAAATTATGATGCACATTTACTTCCCAGGAGCAGATCCCAGATTTGATAAAAATGCATGCTCATGAGATCAAAAGACCAAACACAGCTCCTAGCACGAGTCAGAGCTACCCCAAACTCTTCCACGTGATCTTTCCCCTCGGCTCAATTCAGCGCACTGGGCTTCTGACTGCTCCCTTGACCCCGCACTGAGATTTTTCCCCACTTTCTGGGCACAAAAGATCTGGCTGTTCAGTGAGATTTCTGCCAGTGTTTGTGAGCAGCATACATCTCCCAGCTCGCTGAGGCTCACCCCTCTCCCCTCACTCCCTCAGCTGCCAGGTGACTGCTTCATGGGGGAACTGGAAGGGTGACCTGAACTAGCCAGATTTAGTGATTTGGGCCGTGAATCGTCTTCTTCGTGCCCTTTCCCTTTCCAATAGTAGCGTGTTTGCATAGACGAGTCTGAAGGTGAACTGTGCACTGGATACTTACATGATGGCGTTTACTGGAACTTGTTGCTTTTCATAGCTGACAAGATTTCGGATGTTCAGTTGCTGTGTAGACAGACTTACACAACTGAATTTGCGCATGGGCTGACTTCCAATGCTCCCTAGGAGGGGAAAAATAGATAAATGACAAAGGCAGTCAATACTACATTCGTATTTAGCCATAAGTACTTAATAAATTATGAATTCCAGCAGATTTCCAGTTGTGGTTAGAACGTGAGTGTCTAATGATGTACAGCTACAATACCAGTTATACAAGAGAGCTTAAGGTATTTTTTGTGATGCATCCTACCATCTCTAAAGTGTTATTACTATTTCAGTTAAGATACTAATCTTCACCCATTCTCCTGGACAATTGTATAATCATTCTTAAGGAGTCACTGCTTCCACAGCAGAAAAGGTATCTGGCATCATTTATAATTAGGTCTGTATCATCTGCAAATAAGTATCCATATGGAGTAGCGCTTAGAACTGGCACCTTTACTGGGTGGATTTCCAAATGCCATCTGAATGTGGATCAGTAATTCCCCCTACTTTCCAAGTGAAGGAGAGGAAAGCAAGGCTACTTGTCTCACACTGGACATCCAAAACTAGCAGTAAAAAAAAAATTGTTGAAAGAAAGGGAGGTATGTCTGCCAGAAGACTAAATACCTGCATACTCTTGCTGTAAGTCTGGTTTCACAGGCAATGGAGTACTACTTAATCCTCTCTTTCCTCCAACATTTTCACACATTTCAGGGAAATGCACTGGTGATTAATAAAGAGAATTGCGATATCAGTGTAAAATTCTCTGAGCAGTTGTTACCTTACATGATGGTAACTAAAAATGGGAGCTCATTTCAGTGAGATGGGTATATGTATACATTACTGGAAGCCTCCGCTTGCTAGTTTCTGGTTTTCTCCCACCCATCAAAGACGGGTTTGGGAAGGCATGAGGGAGACAAACAGAACATTGCTGTATTCTGAGGTTTCTTTTTGAAGAATTTATAGAGAAACTGGCTTGAGAAAAGTCCAAGAGCTGTTCGGGTACAACATGCTAAATATAAAACCTGCTTCACATAATCTCATTATATGTGAGCTTGTCTTTGTTTGAAATAATTGGAATAGCTGAGGCAAACACAAGTCAGCCTTTGGAGAAGCTGTAGCATAGCCAGTGCATGGGTACTGGCAGAGCTGCTAATTCCTGAGATTTTGTTTGCCTGAAGGAATATCTCTTCTGATCTTGCTTTATTCATGAGTAATGCGATGTATTTTTTGATGATTCATTACAAATATGTATCTTACTGCCTCACTCAGACTGGTTTTCAAAATGTGGCATTAAAGAGCCCAAAGAGAGTCAAGCAAACCTTACTAGTCCTGGAAATATTCTCTCTACGACTAAACTATTTCCAGGGAATGCATGTAGGGAATATCAGCAGAGCTTCTCTAAGCCTGGGAACAAAACCAAACTGCTCTGCACCTATAACTACTCTTTTTTCTGGCGTTTTTTTTTTTTTCTTTATAATTCTTCTTTCTAATCTTTTTTCGATCCCTTGCACACCACCTCAGTGCACTTTTTCAGACTTGGTGATATTTATGGCAAATTATACAACCTGGAGAATGACATTACGAACTGGCAGTCTGTCATACGAAGCCACATGTTGCCGAGATGAACAGCGGTAGCGTTAATCAATGATCTAGCTCCAGGGGCACTCGGTCAACATACTCAGTGTGTAGCTACATAATCTTGCGAATGCCTAGCAGGTCTCAGTTTGGTTTTGGTGTGGTTTTGTGAAGATGCCTTTTCTGTGTGTTTCTCTTTGCATATTTTTGTGGGTTTGCATATGGCTTGCATATGAGCGTTTTCTGTGATTTTTATGTGCTTGTTTGCATGAATCTGATTGTGTATAACAAGCCATGTGCTTATGTATATGTGTTCATGTTTTCGCATGATACACGTAACCTAATCCAAAAGTCACAGACCTAAACATCACTGTAGACAAACTTATTTAAAGCATGGCTAATAAATACGGCTCATCTCCGTGCTCATAAATGGTCTCAAATGAGATGTTAAATTGTAGGAAATCAGGAAAAGAGAGAAGACATTGTATAAATCCATTGCTGTCCTTTGCAGTTTTTGTTCATAGTTTGCCTGTCTGTACCAAAATATTTGGCTAGAAACAAGCAAATAGGCAATATGTGATACAGAACTGGAAGAACTTTTTAAAATAGGGACATTAGAGGGATTAAGGCTATATAGTTAGAAAAAGACAAATAAAAATAATATAATAAAATACATATAAAAGTAGTATGTCTTGAAAAAGAAAAAAAAGTACATCTTATTCAAGAAATATTTTTCATAAAATGTTATTAACCTATAGAACTCATTGCTATATGTCATCAGTGAGACCAAAAGACATTGTGTCTTCAAGATTTCATGATTTTAAGAGAGAGAATAATGCACAGAAACCCTTTAAGTGTTCTAAGGCACAGAAACGCTCCTTGCATTAAGGCAGAAGCCAACCACTAATTGACAGAACATCAGATGAAACCTCCCAAAAAGCTGCCTTTCTTGTGGTTCTGATCTGGATTTCTTGCGAGTTTTATCTTATGAATCAGCTCTGGCTGAGAATGAATCCTGCTCATCAGACCACTAGTGCAATGTGGAGCAATTCCTGTCTTCCTCTTGGGTTGTAAACTTACCTTTCACTGTGTGCACAGTGAAGATGCCAAGCCAGAAGATGACGAGGATAGCTGCAGCATGGAGTTTCATCGCTGGTGGCTTCTTTGTCAAGGCAGAGAAGAAAGTGGCTATTGTCAGCCCTCTTTCACAGAGTTTATATATTGTCATTGAGTGGTCAGTTCTTGTGTTCACTTTTGGGGTGTCATGGGGGGGCTGACTACAAGTGGAAAAAATTGAGTGGCAGTACTTTTTCTGGTGACAGAGAACCACCTCCTTTCCCCCACCCATCCTTCACTAGCCCCCCTGTGAAGGCTTTTCCTGCTCAAACCCTGCTGTGGTTGCACTTGCTTCTGTGTTGCGAGTAGGGTTTATTTCAAGCTGCAAAAAGTGAGAGCTCTTGTTCTGTAGTGGAAACCTTTAATAAATGTTCCTGTCCTTTCACACCTCGATTTAGAAAGCTGTAGCTAAGCCGCACCACAGAGGCACAGAGTAACATTCAGAGTTACCTCTTTGACCAATGGACCACTTAAAAGGGGGACTGTGAGCTAAAGGATGATGGAAACAGGAACGCCTTGGCTTTTTCCACAGTGGCTGTAGATAGTTGGTCACTTTAACGCATAGCTTTGGAGGGATATCACTCCTATTTCCTATGTGTGGTGGAGCTTGTCAAAACTCTTCTGTTTTCTGTGATTTGATATGGCCAAAGCTGATATCACTATGTGCTGGGAGAAGGAAGAGTGAACACACTTTTACATATAGAGCCAGATCCACTAGCCCTCCTGCCAGTCAGGCGTAACTAAAATACAATAGTTTGAAAGAGGAATAAGAGTTTATAAAGTTTTGGGGTTTGTTTTTGGGTTTGATATGGCCAAAGCTGATATCACTATGTGCTGGGAGAAGGAAGAGTGAACACACTTTTACATATAGAGCCAGATCCACTAGCCCTCCTGCCAGTCAGGCGTAACTAAAATACAATAGTTTGAAAGAGGAATAAGAGTTTATAAAGTTTTGGGGTCTGTTTTTTGGGTTTGTTTGTTTGTTTGTTTGTTTGTTTTTTGTGGTGTGGTCTTTCTAGTATAAAGAATGGAGCCCAAGAAAGTAACCAGGCAATCAGAGGCACAATTTATAGGAAAGAAGAAAAAAGTTCATTGCACTTCTATGTACACATGGTGTTGATAACAGGTCTGTCCACTTGTTCCAATTGTACCTCTATAAAAAGTGTCCTTTTTTGCGGTCTGTGCTAGTCCTATCACTCAGTTTTAGGTGTCCTTTCTATGTTGTGGTAAGGTGGTCTGAGTTACTGGATAGCATTGCTACATGCCAGCGGTTTTGCGCCTGCAAATATTTTTCAAGCAAGCTGTGGACCTCCAGGCCACACATGAAGCAGCAGCTGAGCTGGCATCATCGTCCAGAGCCTCTGAACAGAAATCTCCTCTCGTGCTTTACACTCTGGAGCGCTTCTGTGCCTGGTAGAAAAAGCCATGGTTTGCTAGGCCCACGGAGACCCAGCCGGGCCCGGTGTGAATAGGTAAGCACCAGGCTGCCTGATGCCTGAGATTGTAAAGCAGTGGTGTAGAATAGCTGTCAGTGCAAAGCCTGGAGCAAGTGTCCATTCGTGCGAGTCTGAAGTTTCCCCTGCTCTTACCTCCAGGCCTTGCCTCAGCTGGTTACTTCCAGTTTTCCAAATTCTTGATAACATCAATGGAAATTGCTTTGCATGGGGAAATGCAGCATGTGGAAGTCAATTCCCTAAGATTCCTCAGGCAAATTAAGATCGAGCTAAGAACTGAGCTCAAATACTTAATTCCTAGGCTGTAATGGCTGCTCTGGAACCTCGGGAACAGTCTGTAGGTCTTGCAGGCAGAGAACATGCTGCTTGGTTTACTTGTATATACACACACATTCTTTGTTCCTTTTGGTTTGATTCTTTCATCTTACATATACCATGCAACCCAGGGAAAAGCAATGGCAAAAGTAGACAGTAAGCAGGTGTAAGGTACTTGCTGCTTTACTTGAATGCCTGCTAAACCCACTTGCAACGCTAATGTAAGCTGCAATAAAATGGAAGTCAAAGCTTCAACCAAAGGACCTAAAGGTCCTTTAGGACCCTAAAGGACACGCCTGATGCCACACAGGGGAGTAACCATACTGACCTCAGCAGCACTACTGGGAAATCTAATGTTAAGTTTGTGTCCAAGCAGTGTAGCAGCCTGGTGTTTTGCTGAACACTGCCCGAAATCACTCCTTGAATGAGATATTCTAACTTTTTAGCACTTGGCAGCTTTGAGATGCAAGATAGCAACTCTGTCATTGATGGCAGAGAGAAGTTTTCTTGCTACCGTTAAGAGAGGAGATGCTCCCCCACTTCTGCTCACTGATACGGTATGTACATGTATGTATATACTCACTGTCTACAGCTTTGAGAGGAAGGGTCACCAGCTGTATTGAGCACGAGCCAGCTCAGAAAAAGTCAGTCCTTCCCACAGAAGCTTCTGCAGGTTGTAGATTCATCCCTGAGGTGGTGTTAGAAAGCCTGTTGCTTCTTCCATTTTCCACCATTCTTAAGGTGGGATGGAAAAATTGCCTTGCGGCACGTTTTTCCTCTCTTTGTAGTTCTCATTTGCTGCGGCCTCCTGGGCTGTCGTTCTGTGTAGCTGGCTTATGTCCAGTGAAGTCTGTGTTTTGGAGAAGAGTTTTGTGGGCTGGAGTCCCACAGCCCTGTCTGTGGATATTTGGTGATCTCTGGTGTTCTAATGTTGTATAAGGCTCATTTTGCATGTACTCTTACACCAGTGTGCACTGCCTCTGTGCTGTGGCAAAAGCTTAGTGCAAGATGGCAAGACATATGGTCTTTCTGTTTTCTTGCTGGCAAGTCATATTAAAAAGACAGCTAATAAGTGCCCAAAGTACTTTTGCTATTAGTGCTTCTCAGCTCTGGATAAGTTGAATGCTAATGATACTTGTCCTGGGGCTTGACTGCCTCTTGTATGGCTCCCTCACCACAGGCTGCTTTCAAAGCATTCTGGAATAAAATGACCATTTGCAGCTTGTGATACAGCCACAGACGAAATGGACGATATGATTATGGAGTTCTCTAATAGTTTGTAAAGTTTGAATTGTGGATAAAGATGACTAACTTTACCACGATGCTTCCCAAACGCTTGGCTACAGGTACAATGTTGTGTTTGCCGTGAGAGCTGCCCCTTCTCCCCCCCTCCACATCTCATGTTTAACACATGCACTCTTTGCTGAGAGAAAGTAGGTGCAGACAGTGGATATTGCAGGTATGGATGTGTAGATGTATCAGTATTTAACCTTTGGACCCTGCTCATGTGCAGAAAACCACAGGCTTTGAGTTAGTCTCCTAGGCTTCCTATACAACGTGGGGAGAGGCTGGGGGACACAGCCCTGGGAGAGGACAGCAACAGCAAGTTCCTGCTTGAGGAGTTCAAGGGCTCTCCTAAGCCCTTCGGCCTCCGTTCATGAAGAGCAGCCTGCCTCCATTTTACCAATACAGCGGCTGGGGCACAGAGAGGTGAAGGGACATGTGAGACTGCTCACGCATAGCAGGAGGCAAAGTCAGGGCCTTCTCTAGCACAGCTCCTAACCAACTGCTGAATGCAATAGTTTTCTTAGTTTTTAACAAGGTCAAGAAATTTGTACTGAAATAATTGTTGTATATACCCTGTTTCATGTCAGCAATCCTGCAGAAGGAAAAGAAATATGCAGTAAGCAGCGTGTTGAACCTAATATCAGAGTTTACTTACCAGGGTAAAGAGTCTGAAGTATCGCACCTTCTCATACTGCAGTTAGCTTTCAAAAAAGAGAGGGCAAGATCTTCACAGATAAGTAAATTCTTATGCACTCCTAGAAATGAGCATCATTAGTGAATGTTCAGCAGCCCCTTGAAGATGTGCCAGCCCGTCACTATCACTTTTGAAGACTAAATCAGGGCATTCAGTGACTTTAAGAGGGGACCTAAGAACCTCAGCTTAGACACATCTGTATCTCAGACAGCTGTCTTTAGGGTGGGAGATGTCACCCTCAGGAGATACGGGTCTGTCTCTATTATCTAGAGAAGCAATATACACATGTATCTTATGCCAGACACGGTAAGTGAGCAAAGTTAGGTGGGATAAATCTGACCCTAATGTATTTTGGTTTTGCATTGTTTCTTAACAGTTGGAGTACTGGTTTAAGAATTACCAGCAAGTGACATCCAGCTGTGATATTTACATAACTTTCCTTCCCTCCTCCTTCCTTCGTTTTTTATCACTTTTGCTCTGTAGATTTCATGCTGATTTCATAGGTACTTCTGGCATTTAATTTCACTTTCTTATTGAAATTGCTGTTGTCTTTCTATTTGTGCCTTCCCACCACGCTTGTTAGGTCATGCTCCATAGCTCAGCATAGCTTAAACTATTTACTTACTTTTAAACTCGCATCTGAATTCATGCCTGCTAAGCAGCACAAATTAAGTATATAATAAAGGCCCACTGAAGTCAGTATCCCACCTTAGTACCTGCTTAGTTTTTTAGTTATATCAGTGCATTGAAGTATGGTCAGATAACAGCTGATGACAGAATTAGCATGATTTAGGAAGTTTCTGTCCCTCACCTGCAAATAGCAGTTTATGTTCAGTCTTTTTCATTCATATTGTAACGGAGTAGAAACACACACATGCTTGGTGCTCACATCTCAGCTGAGAGACAATGACTGTTAATCTAATCTGATCACTTAAATCACATTTTTAATAACTACTGTGTTTTGTGCTGGTTTTGGCAGAACTCCTCCTTTAGAAATGTAACTCTATTAACAATAATGTCTCTTAATCATAATAGAGTTTTTGCTTGTAGACCATCTGTTTCCACTACCTTACTGCCAGCTTTTCCCTGCCACCTTTTCCCTGGTCCTGCTAACATGTGCTTGATGTATCATGTGCTCTTAAATAAGTTAGTTGTATCAAAATCTTTCCTTCAGTCATCTGACTTGAAGCATTCAGATACATAAAATTAGACTGAGAATTATTTGGTTTGGAAGGGACCTTGAACCAAACATACAAAGGCTACTCTACACTCTACAGTCAACTC